CCCCGCATCACTCATCACTTGGGCAGGCGTTGCCACAACAAGTTCTGACTACCAGGTCTGCCAGCAAAGCACTGGAAAAACCTGGGGCAGAGCCCAGCAGAGCGAGTGGCCCATGCTTGGAGGCCAAGTGGTGGCCCTTTGTGCCAATACCGAGAGCTTGCGCCCCAGAGTCGGTGGGGTGTGGAGTTCATGTTGCTGTTGCAAGGCTTGTGGTCAGGGTCCTCTAAGAAGTCTTCCTTTGAGCAACTTGGGGCTAAAGGGAGTGCACTGGACTCAGAGTCCACATACCCGTTTCCATGGCCTGACTCGCCCATGAGCTAGGCCAAGCATGCTTCCTTCTTAGGCATTCAGTTCCCTCTTTTGTAAAGTGAGGCTTATTCCATCCTTTCCACAGGGCTCCTGGAAATATTCAGGGAGCAGAGAAGCAATGAGGGGCTGTGTAAACTCTGAAAGCAGCTTGACAGCTGTGTGAGGGCAGGAGGCCTGTTCCTCTCGGTCACTCTCCCTAGGACTGAGCATCTGCATTCAACTCTCTCTCCTCCCTCAGATGTCATGGAGCTGGATCTGTCTCCACCACATCTCAGCAGCTCCCCAGAAGACCTGTGCCCAGCCCCTGGGACCCCTCCTGGGACTCCCCCACCCTCTGATGCCCCTCTTTCTGGGGAGGTGAAGCGCTCCCAGCCCCTGCCCATTCCTGCCAGCAGGTACAATACGGTGATGGGCCAGTGGGGAGGTCAGCCCAAGTAATACACAGAGGCTGGGTCAGCACCCCCCTCCTGCCCTCTGCCCTCTCCCTTTATGCAGGAATTTCCGAGAGGAAGAGCTGCGGGCAACCTCTCTGCCCTCTATTCCCAACCCCTTCCCTGAGCTCTGCAGCCCTCCTTCACAGAGTCCCATTCTTGGGGGCACCTCCAGTGCAAGGGGTTTGCGCTCCCGGGATGCCAGCTGCCCCCATGTGAGTTTTCCTGGGAAAGGGGAGAAGGCTGGAATGAAGGGTGGATATGGTACCACTTTGGGGGAGGGGATCTTGGTCAGGAGGCCCTGAGGGTATAGGGAAAGTGAAAAGAGTCACCGTTTGCCCTGTCTCAAGTGTCTGCAATCCCTGGGGTGCAGGTGGTAAAGGTGTACAGTGAAGATGAGGCCTGCAGGTCTGTGGAGGTGGCGGCAGGTGCCACGGCTCGCCATGTGTGTGAAATGCTGGTGCAGCGAGCCCACGCCCTGAGCGATGAGAACTGGGGGCTGGTAGAGTGCCACCCCCATCTGGCACTGGGTGAGTTGGGGTGCAGGGAGCTGCCTGGGCCATCGGGCCCTGTCTCCCATCTGGGGGAGGGGTGCTGGCTGGTCGCCACTGAGCCACTGAGCCCTGCTCTTGGCCGCAGAGCGTGGATTAGAGGATCATGAGTCCGTGGTGGAAGTGCAGGCCGCCTGGCCCGTGGGTGGAGACAGCCGCTTCGTCTTCCGGAAGAACTTCGCCAAGTACGAACTCTTCAAGAATTCCCCAGTGAGTGTGGGTGATGGAAGTCTGGGTGCTGGGGCACCCTGATCCCCAACCTGGACCCTCAGTCCCTGACCCCTGACCTCTTCCTGCCCCCAGCACTCCCTGTTCCCAGAAAAGATGGTCTCCAGCTGTCTCGATGCAAACACAAGCATATCCCATGAAGACCTCATCCAGGTGAGGGGAGCCCCTATTTCATCTCATATTCATGGCCCCCCAGAGTCACCCAGTGCTTCCTCACCCTTCAGCCTTCTGCTTCCCCCCCACGTGGTAGAAAGAGCCCAACAGTGCCATATGGCTAGAGACAAGGCACTTTCCCTACCTGAGCGTCAGTTTCTTCATCCATTAAATAAAAACCAAAAAACCAAACTCACTGCTGTCGAGTCAGATCCGACTCATAGTGACCCCTCCTTGGGTTTCCGAGGCAGTATCACTACGGAAGTAGATTGCCCAACCTTCCTTCCGAGGAGTGGCTGGTGGGTTTGAACCGCCAGCCTTCTGGTTAGCAGTCAGATGCCTTAGGCACTGTGCCACCAGAGTTCCTATCCATTAAATAGGCATGATAAATCCACAAGGAGCATCTCTTCTCCTAAAGGAGGGCCCTGTACAGGTGTGGGAGGTCTTGGCCTCTCACCCTCTAACCTGCTTTCCTTTGGCCTCAGAACTTCCTGAACGCAGGCAGCTTCCCTGAGATCCAGGGCTTCCTGCAGCTAAGGGGGTCTGGACGCAAGCTTTGGAAACGCTTCTTCTGCTTCCTACGCCGGTCCGGCCTCTATTACTCCACCAAGGGCACTTCCAAGGTAAGGTCTTAAGGATGCCAGCCCCAGCCCCTGCCCCTAGGTACCCCACCCTTGTCCTTCTAGGATAGGCCCCTTTCTCTTGGCTCCTGGACCTCTTCCCTGGACCCTAAGTTCCTCAGCTGCTCCTTCCTGCCCCCAGGCTGCCTCCTGCTTATGGCTTCACTCCTCCCTGCCCAGCTTACCTGCCCCAGGAGGTAGCAGGGGAAAGGCAATTCAAGTCCTGGCTTTACCTCTGTTTGCTGTGTGACCTTGGGCACTTCTTGGTCCCTCTCTGGGCTGGAGTCTCCGTACCTGGCTTAAAAAACAAAAACCAACCCATTGCTATAGAGTTGATTCTGACTCATAGCAACCCTATAGGACAGGGTAGAACTGACCCATAGGGTTTCCAATACTATAACCTTTATGGAAGCAGATTGTCACATCTTTCTCCTGTGGAGCAGCAAATAGGTTTGAACCCCCAACCTTTCAATTAGCAGCCAAGCACTTAACCACTATGCCACCAGGGCTCCTTATATCTGGCTTAAGGGGACAATACAGTAATAGGGACATAGGACCTGCCAGTACCAACCAAGTCCTGGTCACTCATTCTCTCAGGATCCAAGACACCTGCAGTATGTGGCAGACGTGAGCGAGTCCAATGTGTATGTGGTGACCCAGGGCCGCAAGCTCTACGGGATGCCCACGGACTTTGGCTTCTGTGTCAAGGTGAAGACTCGACCTGGGCCTCATGCCTAGAGTCCCAGCCCTGGCCTGGGAGGATCCTCCTTGGGGCTTCTGAGTTCCATTTTGGGACACTTGGACTCTCTCCCTGCACCCTGGCCCTGCTGGAGACTCCTTGGGTTCTGCCCTGCCCCATGGAGACAGGGACAGATATCTGGTCCAGATCTGGGATCAGCCAGTTTCTTCTCCCCACAGCCCAATAAGCTTCGCAATGGCCACAAGGGGCTCCGCATCTTCTGTAGTGAGGACGAGCAGAGCCGCACCTGCTGGCTGGCTGCCTTCCGCCTCTTCAAGGTGAGGCCCTGGGAGCTGCAGAGGGGAGGGCTGGCCCTGCCCTTCAGATCCCTGACGTGAGGGTGGAGTCCTAGCTCTGCCCTTAGCAAGTCTTTGGAATGAGGGGGGCATCATAGCCTTGCTCTTTGAGATCCTCTGCTCTAAGGATGGAGCCACAGCTCTGGCTTCAAAAAGCTCTTTATCCAAGGGCAAGGATACAGCCCTGCTCTTAGGGAATGCTGGTCTGAGAAGGTTATCAAAATCCACAGCCTAGGACCTACCTGACCCCAGGCCCTCTTTCTCTCCCTACCCCTAGTATGGGACGCAGTTGTATAAAAATTATCAGCAGGCACAGTCTCGCCACCTCCGCCCATCCTGTTTGGGTTCCCCACCCTTGGTGAGTGTGCATAGGGGGCATTAGCCTGGGGTGGGCACCTGGGCCTTGGCCCAGGAATACGGGACCTTTTCTGATCCCTCGCCTCCCCATCCTTTCCTATCTCCAGAGGAGTGTCTCGGATAATACCCTGGTGGCCATGGACTTCTCCGGCCATGCTGGGCGTGTCATAGCGAACCCTCGGGAAGCTCTAAGTGCAGCGCTAGAGGAGGCCCAGGCCTGGAGGGTGAGGGGCTGCACCCATCTGCATGCATGTCCTGGGGCCTTTTCTTCATATGGGTTTTCCTGGAATGGGAGGGAAGAAGAGAGGGATGAGGGGAGGCCCTCAAACTGGGGGAAGGGGCGCTATAGTCTAGAGGTGCTAGGTAACACCCTAAGGGACAACCTGACTTCCTTCTGTTCCCTACATGTGTAGAAGAAGACCAACCACCGCCTCAGCCTGCCCACCCCATGCTCAGGTTCAAGCCTCAGTGCAGGTGGGTGAGGGTCCAGAGTCCCCAGGGGTGGGGGTTTTCCTGGCTTCTCTGAGTATTCCTAGGTGGGAGGGAACAGGGAATCCCCTCCCCAGGAGTGACTGCCCATCTGCTTCCCCAACCCCAGCCATCCATCGTACCCAACCCTGGTTCCATGGACGCATTTCCCGTGAGGAGAGCCAGCAGCTCATTGGGCAGCAGGGCCTGGTGGACGGGTAAGGGGTAGGGCTGGGTGGGGCAACAGGCCCAGAGGTAAGAGAGACCCTGGGTCAAGGTCACAGCCGTGTGGTGTTGGGTAACGATGCCCTGTTTCCTGGCAGCCTGTTCCTGGTCCGGGAGAGTCAGCGGAACCCACAGGGCTTTGTCCTCTCTTTGTGCCACCTGCAGAAAGTCAAGCATTATCTCATTCTGCCAGTGAGTAATCCCCTACTTCCCCCAGTCCCAGATTCCTGCATTAGAGACAAAGCCCTCCCAGCAACCTGCCCTCCTCATCAGGGCCCCTCCTCCCCTGGCTCCCAGTGTGTCTGGGGTCTCCTGTTTTCTCCTGTCCAAGAAATGGGCACTTCTGCCTTGGCCCAGCAGGGAGCTTCCTAAGCCTCATACCCCTGTCTGACCTTCCACTCCCATTCATGGCCATACCCCAGAGCGAGGAGGAGGGCCGCCTTTACTTCAGCATGGACGATGGGCAGACCCGCTTCACTGACCTGCTGCAGCTCGTAGAATTCCACCAGCTGAACCGTGGCATCCTGCCGTGCTTGCTGCGCCACTACTGTACCCACGTGGCCCTCTGAACACCACACAGACAGGTGTGCATCTCAGGGCAGCTTCAGGATGTTCACCATCCCATCCACTCATAGAGTGGGCTCAAGGGGTGCAGGAAATGATGTCATGATCATGAATGATTGGATAGGCTCCCCCACTCCAGTTTTCTCCACTGCTCCTTCCCCTCCCTTAGGCAGAAAATGCCCCCCACCCAGTCCACTCTCAACCTTTCTCATTAAGGGAAGGTGATTGGGGTGGCCCTCTCTGCTTCATGGAGCTCCTGGGGCAATGCTCCTGGGGCAGGGCATTATGGAAGAAATGGGGTGGCCCAGGTGGTTCTATGCCCCACACTTTGTACAGAATGAGAGGCCAGTGATCTGCTCTGTTTTATACCAGTGACAATAAAGATTATTTTTTGATACACCTAAGAGTTCTGTCTAATAAAACCTGGCTAGCTGGAATAGAGAAGACCAGGAGACAAGGGCACCAGCTGAGGCCTTGGTGAATGTGTCAGGTAGATCAAGGCCATGTTCTGGCCAGCCTGGATGTTTGTTGAGGGCAAGGGTGATCTTAGTTAATGAGAGTTTTCACTGCCTAGTATGGAGCCCGGTGTATAGTCCAAACAAAACCGAAATCACTGCCGTCGAGTTGGTCCCGATTCATAGCCACCCCTCCTTGGGTTTCTGAGGTGGTGTCTCTATGGAAGTAGATTGCCCTGTATAGTAGGCACCCAATAATTGCTTGTTAAATAAATTAATGGACAAGGGACTGTCATTCAGATGAGATTTCCAGACAGGGCATAAAGCAAGAGAGGTAATGGACAGAGCCTGGAGTTGGAGATGAGTCAGACAGCACCCTTGTCCTCAGCAAGTCCTGGACCAAATGATGGGGTAGTAAGTCCTTATATTAATACAGCATTTTGCTCTTCACATCCTGTTCACATTAAAAAAGGAAAGAAAACTGGACACAAATTTTCAGTGTAAGAGAAAAGAGATAAAAATATAAAACAAAATGTAAAAAGCCTGTAATCCTAAATTTGAATTGAAAATATCAGTATGAATTCAGGATGTATTGTCTCTTAAAATTTTTTCTAGCTCTGGTAACTGAAAAAAGACTAGAAACAATGACCATCCAAGAGCATGGGCACCCTAGTGCCAGATTGTAGTCCCCAAATAGCACTCCCCACCAAAAAGAACTAGAATTGTGGAGAAATGGCTGATTTCAGGTCTGGGCAATGTGTGGGCTGATTTCAGACCTTGGAACATCTTGTTTTACTAAAAAGCAAGGAAACTATCAAAGACTACTAGGGTCATAACCACAAGGAGTCAAGAGACAAGCTAAATGGGCTGTGACTGACTAAAGACAGGACAGCTAACTAAAGATGTTGTTATGTGCCATCAAGTCAGACCCGACTCATAGCGACCTCTTCTTGGGTTTCTGAGGAAGTATCACTACAGAAGTAGATTGTCCAACTTTCCTTCCGAGGAGTGGCTGGTGGGTTTGAACTGCCAGCCTTCTGGTTAGCAGTCAAGTGCCTTAGGCACTATGCTACCAGAGCTCCTAACTAAAGATAGGACAATATAAACCACAAAAAAGAATAATAACTCCAGTGGATTAAAACACCATGTACATGAAAATCCATGAATTCATTCATAATAACACAGAGAAAGAAAAATTTATTGGTCACCTGTGGAAGATGCTAGGGAACCAACTTACCTGAAAATTGCTAAATAAAGAGAAGAACCCAGTGTTTATCCTGCCTTTTCTTAAATTTCTCATAGTAACCAAATCATTTGTGAGGGAAAATTTTTCATTATAGAAGAATTCCAGTTAAATGTACTAAAAATAGTAAATTTAGTATATTATTTTGCAACTCTTAATGAAATGACTCTTTGATGGTTTTTAAAACTTAGGTAAATTTTTCTTTTTATTTTTATTGTCATTTGGGTGAAAGTTTACAGAGCAAGTTGGTTTTCCATTCAACATCCACACACATTTTGTTTTGTGACATTGACTGCAATCGCTACAATGTCACAGCACTCTTCCAACTTCCTCCTGTAGTTTCTGTTTCCATTCATCCTTCTTTCCTATCCCTTCCTGCCTTCTGAGCTTTAGCCTGGGCGAATGCTGTCCTTCTGATCTTGTATGTTTGATTGTTCTAAGGGGTGAGTGTTCTAAGGGGTGTGTACCTCCCAGGTATTATTCAACTTACAGGCCTACTTATCATGTGGCTGAAAGTTGAGCCATGGGGGTAAATTCAATTCCAGGCCTGAAGGGTGTCTAAGGACCATAGTCTTGAGGGTTCCACCAGTCTCTATTAGACCAGTAAGGCTGGTCTTTTTAATTATTTTGATTTTTGCTCCACATTTTTCTTCCACTCTATCCAAGACCTCCTATTATGATCCCTTTCAGAACAATCAGCATTAGTAACCAGGAGCCAGCCAGTTCTTCTGGTTTTAGGGTCATGGAAGTTGGGGTTCATGTGGTCCATTAGTCCTGTAGGCTTTTCTTGCTGTTCTTTCTCTAATTGTTGAAGATGTTCATTTAAAGTGTTGATTTTGGCTCTTTCTTCTTTTTTGATGTGTGCATTTATTGCTATAAATTGGCCTCTGATCACTGCTTTAGCTGTGTCCCAAAGATTTTGGTATGTTGTGTTTTCATTCTTATTTGATTCAAGGAATTTTTGAATTTCAATTTTGATTTCTTCTCTTACCCAGTCTTTCTCAAGGAGGGTGTTGTTCAGTTTCCATGTGTTTACTCTTTTCCTGTTGATCTTCCTATTGTTGATTTCTAATTTGATAGCATTATGATCTGAGAAGATGCTTTGCAGTATTTTGATGTTTTTAAATTTATGAAGGCTTGCTTTATGGCCTAACATATGGTCTACCATAGAAAAAGTTCCATGTGCACTGGAGAAAAATGTATATTGTGCTGCTGTTGGGTGAAGTGCTCTATAGATGTCTATAAGGCCAAATTGGTGGATTGTATTGTTTAGCTCTTCTGCATCTTTGTTGAGTTTCTTTCCAGTTGTTCTATCTTTCAAAGAAAGTCGTGTAATAAAGTCTCCCACTATGACTGTGGAGTCATCTGTATGGCTTTTCAGCACTTTTAAAGTCTGATTTATGTATTTTGGGGCTCTTTCATTGGGTCCATAGATATTTATTATCATTATATCTTCATGTTCAATTGATCCTTTAATCATTACATAATGTCCTTCTTTGTCTCGTATGGTGGTTTTTGTCTTAAAGTCAATTTGATCAGAAATTAATATTGCCACTCCTGCTCTCTTACAGTTGCCATTTGCTTGATATATCTTTTTCCAACCTTTGATTTTTAATCTATTTTTGTCTTTATCTCTAAGGTGTGTCTGTTATAGGCAGCATATTGATGGGTTGTGTTTTCTTATCCAATCTGCAACTCTCTGTCTCTTGAGTGGTGCATTTAATCCATTAACATTCAGGGTAATGATTGATAAGTTTGAATTTGTTGCTGTCATTTTGTTATGTGTTTTTTTTCATGGTGTCCCTGGTTTCTTTGTTCCATATTATTTCCTGTGCTGAGCTCATTATGTTTATGAATTGTGTTATCATTTCCTTTGTTGCTGTTGTTTTAGTATATGTTGAATATTTGTGCTTGTTCTCTTTTTTATTGTGATGTGAAGGTTTATCATTTTTCTTTGAGGTTGCATTAGTCCTTTGAACCAGTTGTTTCCTTGTGTCTTTGATTTTCATCATTCTTTGCTCTAGATGGGGAGAGATCAACAGTTGTACTTTAGATGGCTGCCTTTTCTTTTCTTAAACAGATTTAATGAGATATAATTCATACGCTATACAAGTCACCATTTAAAGGATGGAATTATTTCCCTGTGAAGAATGGGAATTCTAGAACACTTAACCGTGCTCATAGGGAAGCTGTACATAGACCAAGATGCAGTCATTAGAACAGAAGAAGGGGATACTGCGTGGTTTAAAATCAGGAAAGGAGTGTGTCAGGCTTGTATATTCTCACTGTATTTATTCAATCTGTATACCGAGCAAATAATCTGAGAAGGTGGACTGTATGAAGAAGAGCGTGGCACGAGGATTGGAGGAAAACTAATTAACGACCTGTGATACGCAGATGACACAACCTTGCTGGCTGAAAATGAAGAGGACTTGAAGCACTTACTGATGAAGATCAAAGACTACAGGCTTCAGGATGGGTTATAACTCAACATAAAGAAAACAAAAATCTTCACAACTGGACCAATAAGCATGATCATGATAAAAAGAGAAAAGTTTGAATGTGTCATGGATTTCATTTTACTCAGACCCACAATCAACACCCAAGTAAGCTGCAAAAGATTTCTTTAAAGTGTTAAAGTAAAGTAAAGATGTCACTTTAAGGACTAAAGTGCACTTGACCCAAGCCATGGTATTTTTAATTGCCTCATATGCATGCAAAAGCTGGACAATGAATAAGGGAGATTGAAGAAGAATTGATGCATTTGAATTATGGTGCTGATGAAGAATATTGAATACACCATGGACTGCCAGAAGAATGAACACATTTGTCTTGGGAGAAACAGCCAGAATGCTCCTTAGAAGCAAGGATGGCGAGACTCCACCTCTTGTACTTTGGTCATGTTATCAAGAGGGACCAATCCCTGGAGAAAGACATCATGCCAGATAAAATAGCAGGTTATTGAAAAAGAGGAAGACCCTCAAAGAGATGGACTGACACAGTGGCTGCAACAATGAGCTCACACATAGCAGCAGATGTGAGGATGGAGCAGGACTGGGCAGTGTTCTGTTGTACATGGAATCGCTATGAACCAGACCCGACTTGATGGCACTTGGCAACAATAACAGATTATTTGTAGTATATTCACAGAATTGTGCAACCAGCACCACAATCTAATTTTAGAACATTTTTGTCCTTCACTATAAGAAATCCTGTACCCATTAGCAGGAGCCCTGATGACACAGTGGTTAAATGCTTGGCTGCTAACTGGAAGGTGGGCAGCTGGACCCCACCAGCTGCTCTGCTTTCATAAAGATCACAGCCTTGGAAATGCCATGGGGCAGTTCTACTCTGTCCTGTAGGGTTGTGATGGCTGTAAATCAGAAAGAACTAGACGACACTGGGTTTGTACCCATTAACAGCCAATCACTAAGCATGAGCAAACAAGCTCAAACACGTGTTGTGCATCTTGTCATGTGCTTATTAGCCATTTGTAGATCTGCTTTGGAGAAATATTTATTCAGATCATTGGCCCATTTAAATTATTATTATTACTGACTTATAAGAGTTTTTATATATTCTAGATATAAATCCTTTATCAAATATATGATTTGTAAATATTTTCTCTTTTCACTTTCTTGAGGGTATTGTTTGCAGCAAAAAAAAAAAAGTTTTAAATTTTGGTTAAAATTAATGACATT